ATACACAACAACACAACACTAAATTAAACATGTGAGAACCAAATAGTCTCACTAACTTATACTTAAACTATAACATGTTGTAACAAGTAAACTATACTGATTGACATTTGATTAAAACATTACTTGAATCTAGATTTTGCCAGTTGGATCCACTCTCCAACAGCACCACGTCAAACTTCTATTATTATTACCAATGTCTGCAGCCAACAACACTTCTCACTGTATCACAGATAAAATAACACTACTTATTCACTAAATCGCTAATGTGCCTGAATCGCAAACTTGTTTTTCCACCACAAAGCCCATTTTTACCACTCGCATATTCGCCGAAAACAATCGCCGCCGGTTTGCTCCTGTCCCACTGCATTAGCACACACAGATCAATAACGCTGCTATTCTCAGCCTTTAGATCTGGACCAGGGAGGGGAAGCCTGCCTGCAGCTAGAGCCTGTGACTGCTCTAGTGTGTGCCCGCCCTCCAGACCCCGGCACAGGGACAGCAGCTGCAGTGACGGGGCAGCACATGGGGGACTCTTTGGAGGCGATCAGACGAATCGCTGGCTCTTTGGCTGGAGGGGCTGGCTGCACTTCAGAGGATGTGGCAGACAGAGATCCGCACACTGTCAATGGTGCCACCGCCACCGCTGTAATTTTCAATCTTTGGCCGGGCTGCCAGCGGATAAATGGTGCAGTCTGTTGGGTAGGGTACAAGAACGGAGCGAAACATTCAGTCTGATGAGAAGATTGGGGCCTGAAATGTAAACAAGCTTTGACTAAGACAACAGTGATTAAACCAAATAAGATGTACGTGTTGAATATTTATTGATAGACTGGTGTTTATATTTCTGTCTATCATTTTCTATAATTAGAAATGTATCACTCAGAACAACAAGCAATTGGTGGTTTTTAGATTTCAGAATGTAATAATGCCTCAGAATACTCTCAAATGGGGGACAAGAGCCAGATATTTTTAATGATTACATTTTGCTTTGTCTTGAAATATCAAAAAGGTAACTTTATAAATGTTAAACCTGGTGGATTTGGTGAATTTTATCAAGGAGAAAGATGTTATTGCCCTTCTTCCTTTGAAATTTGGAAAAAGCTTAATATACCAGTTAGCCCCGTTAGCGGCGCATTACATACGTCACAACCAAATAGCAGCGATTGGTTAAATTAAAAAAGTACCCATCTACCGTCGAGCGAATGAATGCTGCGAGGTCAGACGGTTTCTACGAAGTTAAACCGGCTGATGAATCATTCTAAGAACTCACTGTATTACAACAAAAATATTAGAATATATAATGTTTTGATGTCATCTGAAACAAAGCAAAACTAACTATGATACTGCAATGACCCTGTCTTGCAATAATAAATAAGTCTAAGTTCAGAGGTGCATGTACAATCATTTACTGCTATTTTATGATCTTTATGGTTTTGCTTTCATTGATTTGATTCTTTTAGGACTGGTATGACCAAATTTTAGCAATTTACCTTTTTGTGGTCTTCATTTTATGATCTCTGTGCAGGACTTTGGAAACTGTTTTGCTTGTAAAATGTGCTATAGAAATAAAGTGGATCTGGATTTGGATTTGAATGCATCAAATCAAGTGCAATCTACTTATCATAGTGGATCATTTACAAGTTCAGGAGTTTGTTCCTAATCTCCAAATATTACAATAATGTGCTGAGGTTAGAGTTTGGTTTATGGGCAAAGGTTCTTTTCACTTGATCTCACAATGATAACTACTCTTATAAGTATATTTCTCATTACAAATCCATACGATTCTAACATTAATTTCACACCAAACTCTCTCAGGCATTGTCTTAAAAATATTTCAAACTGCATTTCTTTCCCATAGATGACAATAAAGGCCAGCTATTCCACCAGCCTAAACCAACAGACACGGTTACGCATATGTATGTTTATCTCAAAGTCACCGCAGACAGACTAAAAGAATAGCGTCTGGATTCACCTTGCTCTGACGGTGATAAGGCTCCATCTGATCCGCATCAGTCAAACGGCAGAAAAACTCCTCCTCTTCTATCAGACTCAAAGTGACCATCCTTCAAGATCCTCTCTCACAAAAAGCCCTGGAGACAATACAAGCTGATTGGTTCTCTCATCCTACATCACAAAGACTGTAAGATCTTCAAGTGGGGCGCAAGAAAGATATGTAGTATCCAGCCGAGTGTTAGCCACGTAAGCCTTACTCAGAAGTGCACGGGCTTTAGTCTAGCTAGCTGCTAATGTACGGAGGGTGGCAATGTCAAAATAAAGGTAGGGATGAATAGTAGGGAATATCTCAAATTTTGTTTATGCATTATTACACAAAATTTTAACAGTGCTCAAGTATGTGATAAAATGTGCCTGTGAACCGTGAAATTAATAAAAGTAGTGCAATATTCCAAGCAAGGGTCTAACGTGATATTTCTGTAAATGTTTCTGTTTATTCTATTTTTAATCAGCTCTTTTTGCCATAACTTTCAATAGTCTTAATTATACAGTAAACTCAATAATCTAATTTTGCTCAATCCACAACAACAGATGCTATTAGTAATTAGAGACAGACTAATATTTTGGTTGCCCGATATATATGGGGCTGATATTTTTATCTCACTGGTCTTAACCCCTTAACGCCGACTGTCACAAATATGCGACAAACGTTTCGATGAAGATGTAAGCCAAGACAGCAGCTTCATTTCTCCAATGCTGGTTAGTGCATTTGCAGTAATGTACCTTCCTACTTTGGCAAACCTTTGGCAAGTACTTGTTTCTAGTTGTCGCAAATTTGCAACATACCCCAATTTCTATTTTTTTTAGTAGTGAAATTAATAATCTCAACTTAATTTATCATCTACTTGAAGGAAAAAACACAAACTTGTTTTTAAATATATACATACATCTATATAAATTCAGGCATTAGGGGGTTAAATCTCCAGCATGGACCAATATTTTGTTTAGGCCTGGTGCATAAAGAATCCACAAAAAGCATTATTTAAACTTTAACTTTAAATGTAACTACACTCCTCTCTTAAAGGTTTGTGGTAAAAAAAGAGTAGAGGGCGAGTTTGTAGTGAGTTACAGAATTTGGGGGAAAAATGATCAAACTCAGCCTACAGATCGACCCCAAAATATCGGCAGAGCTTATCGGCCATTGGTTTATCTGCATTCTAAAACCATCAGCCATGAAAAAAAAAAAAAAAAAAACATGTTGGTCGATCTCTATAAGCAATTTTCCGATACATCCTCCACTGATGTCACACACTATACTCTGTGCCAGTCTAAATATAACAATGACAGTTGGCTGAATGTCTCTACTCACTCTTTCCCCCCATCACTTAATGTCCTATAAAGCTTATGGGCAGACAGTAAACACCAAATGAAAATAATGGCCATATTAACTTTACTTCCAGTATCGGAATATATGGCTGTTGCTATCCATTGAGTTGCATAGTCAGTCCTTCTCCCAGCTTCCAGTATGCTAATTGACTGACCTCCTTCTATCCTGCAATTAGTACTCGAGGGTTAATGGCCGTGTGGATGAAGCAAAAAGTGATTTCATTTTATTTTTTATTGACCACTTTTGGCTGGAGGGATATCGTAGGCCAGCGCCATAACCGTATATTGTAGATGTCACGTTCACAGCCTTGGCCCAGGTAATCATATCTGAGTCATAGCTGAGCGCGAGCCAAGTTGAGGGCTCCATCACAGAGTAACGAGCTGGTAGAGATACAGGACAGGCAGGCAAACACATGGAGAACTTGTAAAAACCGTCCTAGCGCACAAATACACACGAATACGCACAAATAGACACAAATACACACTCATACGCACACACTGATGCTATATTGGAGACTATAAGACTCCCTGCGGTGCCATTCCAGCACAAGCTGTTGTCTCCCGTTTGTGTAAACCACCTCATACCGCAATAGAGCATCTTAGCGCAGTCGCTTATATTAGACGCAAGATAGACTTTGATATGTTGGTAACTGCATTTCATTTTGTACTGCGACATGGTGAAACGCGCACTTCGGTTTGTGGTGTCCTGGGTTTTCAGTGCATTAGAACACAACTTCAGTGAGGAAGAAAGGGTTCGAAACCATAAAAGGGTATTTCAGTCTACATAAAAATCAACACAGCATCAAAATCAAGCACAAAGAGCATCTGTCAGCCTCGCAATGGTAAAGAAAAAACGCTCAACCAAAATCTACTCAAGTATTAATGATGAAATTCTAAAAACGAAATCCACCCTGTCAGTACAAAGCAAGGCCCTGGTCCTGCCTCACAGTAGTAAAAAGAAAGTGCCAACTCACTCAACTCTGTTTTTACAACCCATCATATCATGTGCATATTAATATACAAAGTCCAGTCAAAATCTACTCAAGTAGTGTATTAAAATATGCTGTATAAAGAAGTGGACTAAGTGAGTGTCATCCATAGCATTCCACGTCAGTCAAATGAAGCTCACCAAGGCTGCCGAGCTCCATATTAGGAATAGGAAATGATTTAGACACAAAATAAAATTAAAAAAACACCAGGATCATGTAGAGAGAGTTACTATAAACATTTCAACAGCAAAATGAGCCTGACAGCAGCAGTTATAGAGAGAGGGGAGATGTTTTTTTCAATACAAAGTGAATTGGAGTTGATGAAACCAGAAACACGTACATGCTCATCTGTGCTCATTTCCTATTTGGAACGGCGCAGCTAGTGAGGCTGTTACGCTTTATCTTTATTTAGTCTATGTGTATTAATCTTCAAGTACAAAAAAAATCAACACTACCAGCACAAAGCAAGCATCTGCCAAGGCCCTAGTCCTATCTCGCAATGAGAAAGAGAAAGTGCCAACTCACTGAAACGTATCTTCTATTTTTACACCTCACAACATATTCATAGTAACTCCACCCAAGTACACTGCTTTGATTTGTAGACGCACTTACCTCATGCTGCTTTCAAGGAACATAGGGCATACTATCAGACAGTAACAACTCAAAGGATACATTCTTAGAGCTCCACTCTGTGTTCCTATGGCCAGGATCTTCTGCACTGGGTCAAATGCCATAGCTGAGGGCTGGTAGGGGAAGCCATGCCGAACAGTCTGAAAGACAACCATTAAAAGTGAGTGGGTAAAAAAATGTTGATGTTGATTTGCATTTCACAGCACCAGCGAACGTTGTTTTCGTTAAAGGATGTGACACACCTGATTTCGCTAAACAAATGGCACGAATTAATGTGCGAAAATGTTATGAAATCAGAAATTGCAAAGACAAAAATTAAGGGCGAGGACTGAATGCTTGTTGTTTTTTTGTTTTGTTTTTTTGCATTACACTTTATGCTCCTTTTATAATCATTGGTCTATTTTGAGTCTTCTCTTTCTCTCTCATTTCTCTCCTTTTCATCTACTTTCCCTCTCTCTCTTCCGTCCCTCTCTCACTCTCTTTCTCTCTCTCCTCCCACATGAAGTCGTGATGGCGATGAAGTCAAGGAACAAAACACACTGAAACAAGCAAAGAGAAAGCATTTAGAGGCATTATGAGATACTACGGGTTCCCACACAGTTGACATACAGATGACATGGGGTTTTGTGGCTAAAGTCTGCTTAAGGACTAGACGGACGTTTGCTTAGTGGCGAAAGGCTAAAGAACGTTACATAAGAAGCTCTCAGAGAAGTCGAGACACCTGCCTTCTTCAGCCAAAGCATCATATGCACACTTCTCAGACCGAGATAAACAAGCGAGTTCAAGGCAGAGGTGTTCAAAGATGTTTTTCAGTGGGAAGCCAACACAATGTCAGAGGACGTCCAATTAACTCGAGTTTTGGGGTGCAGGCAAACTTAATGTGTTGTGGTGCCAAAGCAAAAGAAGTCATTACCAAGATGTACCTATAGAAAAATAGTGGAATATAACAGAGGTTGTAAAATTTACTCTTAAAACAATGAGTTAAGCCCAGTGAGTGAAACGACAAGACTGAATCTGTTCTGGCTTGAAAAGAAAAAGTGAGGAAATATTGCACAAGAAATTTGATGGAAATGGTAAACATTTTAAAGGCGTGCTTCTATAATGGAGGTCCATCACCTGCTTTTCTTCATGGTTCCAAGGAGCAGCTTTTTCATCACCTAGACTGTATCTATCTTGCAATATTTCATTTCACAGGTGATTTTATTGCTCAAAATATATGACACTTTACTATGATTGCCAGGAGTCAACCCTCCTTAGATCTGACCTGTAACTTGACCTGGTGGCATCGTGTGCTCGTCTCCGTGGAGTTGGACACATTTTAGGCAAAACAATAACATCTCCATGGAGACAAGCAAGTGGTGGACCCTCCAGCAGAAGATTACATAGTGCATCTTTAATAGCAAGAATCTCCCACCTTTCCCATTAATTGTTGACAGGTTTTTATAGAATTCCACTTGGATTTTGGAGCACTCTTTCAGTCAGTATGTTTAGTTTTAGTTCAGTTTTCAATATTTGAACATGTGCACATAGATAACACTGTGTTTGTGAACTGTGTAAGAAAAATCCCACATACAGAGCCCTTAAATGAGCTGATCCTGTTCCAAACATTTACTTGCTTAACTGTGAGCTGTATAAATGTTTTGCAGTTAAATATAAATGCATTCCTTTATAGGCACTTATCTTAAGGAGGCACAAGGGGACAATCCCAATTTACCTTGTTATTAGAGCATGAAAAGCCATGTAAATTGCTGCAATGTTATTAAACCTATCCATTGTGGGAAGGTGGGTCTTTTCCCCCTTTATAAAGTCCCCCACTAAGGCGCCACAATTCCCCATAGGATCGATACAGGGAGCTGGGGGTTAAGATACATGTGCGTATGTAGCCTGCCTCAATGCATTTGGGAGCACTGCCTCATGAGCATTGATGGAGAGGAGAGTGATTTGCTAATCTAAGGCTAGCAGCAGATTATGCAAGAGGGGATCAGGTCTGGCCCAGCCCCTTCAATCTGACACTTCACGCCACAGTACACAGTGACACATGCACGGGGCTTCATTAAATATATGCATGTAGAATTTTAAGTGGACCAAGCTGCAGTTTGGGTTATATATGTAGTATGTATGAGAGCAGCACCAAATGAGCACGACTTGATGAATGAATCTCTATGCTTTTGTGAAAGGGTAAAAAGTGAATGAGCGCAGAGCTGCAGAGGGAAGTGCTGAGGTAGTAATATAGTGACTGTTTTGGAGGTCAATTCCACCTGCTGTATCCGCACATGCGGGAGAGTGCGGTGGGGTTGGCAACACGCACAGTTCAGATAGGGATTTGCGTGTGTGTGTGTGTGTGTGTGTGTGTGTGTGTTTGGTGATGAAGCGCTTGGACCCACCTTGCAGAGCTGGAAATGCTCGGACTGGAGGCTCTCAGGGATCAGATGGTTCTCCTGTGGTCCCACTTGGACAGTCGGGGTGGAGGAGGACGCCTCTTTCAGACCGTCCAACACCTTCCTGATGTTAAACTTTTTCATTTTTCAAATCTCTCGAGCTTCAGTAATCACTCAAAAGAGGACTCAAACACCTCTGGCTCTGTTTTTTTGGGGGGGAAATCTCACATTTTCTCCCTTGCTCGTTGCTTCTCCATACTGAGTGCTAGGCTGTTTACGCGACGTTTTGCTTGGCGTGATTGCCCCTCTGGTTTTCCTCGCTCTCGGCTCTGTGGCGTGTGCCTGCCCCACTGCGTCTCGCTCGGTTCGCTCCTCTCTCGTCCTCCGCCGCGTCCCTCCCCTCTCCGTCAGAGCAGAGCTGAGTGTGCGCCGCTCAGCCAAAGCGGAAACCAAGCGCAGCGCTGCAACTGCCGCTCCTGCCGCTCCTGCGCATGTCTGACAGAGCAAACGGCTTCAACACAAATCCGTCGCTTACTCTTTTCTCTCTCTCTTCTTTCATCTGCCCCCAGCGACAACGCCTCCTCCCTCCTTCTCTCCCTCCTCGCGCTGGTTTTGCTCCACTGCACCTGGCGACAACGCGACTGCTGCTGCCGCCGCTGCTGCTGTGAGTGCGTGCGGCGTGCGCGCTGTTCAATGGAAAAGCACGGACAACCGCACTGACTTTAAACCCACTTGCCCCATACGAGCCGCGCCATATTTTTTCATGCTATATTCTGTCCCAGGAGGCATGCTTTAGTGACGATGCAGCATTTCAGATGTTATGTGGAGGCGCCTGTGGGCAAAACTCAGGGGAAATCTACAGCACTGGTCTGGAATATACAATAACAGTACATTTAAAGCTAAGGCCTAATAATACAACATTTGCATGAATATGGCTGAACGCTACACTGAATCCACAACATTTTGTAAGATCAGCAAAAGTAACTAACCGAGGTTTGTCTGATTTATTCATTGAGCTGGTTAGTTCATGGGTTCTCAACTGGTGAGCCAGAATCCAAAGAAGAATGTTAAAAGGGCTCACATTGCGCTATTTCCTGATCTATGCTAAAAATGTTGCTTCTGCATCACAAACATGCCTGGAGTTGTGTTTTGTTCCATTCATGCATTCTTTTTTTAAATATTATTATTATTACAGAAACATAGCAACATGACAAAACAGCAAAGGTAGATACAGTATAAAGTGCAGATGGGTTGTTGAGCATCAATCCAAAGTCCAGTTCACATTTATGGCAGGTGTGGAATGTGGAGATGTATTGGGGTGTAACGATATCCAAGTCTCACGATACGATATTGTCACTGTATGAACCTCACGGTATAATATTTATTGCGATATCGTGGGAAAGCTCACGATATAGTGGGGAGGCTCACAATTAGGGATGTAACGATATCCAAATCTCTCGGTACGATATTTATTGCGATATTTTGTGGACAAAACTGTTAATATGCTACTTTTAACTTTTAAAATGTTTTGAAAAGACTTAATCAAAAGAATTAAGACTTAAAAGTGCTTACAACTGTTATTTCTTCTTGTAGTCTACACAGAAATGGAGCAAAGGATCATGGTCTATGTAGTTTTCTTTGTCTATTGCGCACCATAACTCTTAATTTAGGCAAAGAGACTTGTAATTCGATATATTGTGATGGTCCACGATATTATTGTGAGAGCTTTGATGATACGATATCTCAATATTTCAGTTATTGTTACATCCCTAATGTATATACATCCACATACATATATACACATACACACATACATACATTATTTAAAGACAAAACGAAACGAAAACAAAACTGACATACATGTAACTTTAAACTGAGGCACATAATACATACAAAGAAATCAATAAAAGAAACCGAGGAAGTGGTAAAAAAATAAAATAAAATCCAAATTCTTCTGTAATTTTGAGTGTTTTGATAGATTTAATGTTAGAAATACTGTTTAGTGTTTGATGATTCTTGATGTCTAGGATAATGATTTTGAAAGGGGAATTTGGATGTATATGAAATTTTCCCAATAGAATGAGCAGGTTTACTAAATATTCAGTTTTATATTGTTTATGATGGAATCCATTCATACTTTCTCTCAAGCAGAAAACCCTCCTTGTGATGTCATGTGGTAATACAGGAAGTGCTCCACTGTGAATCACTTTGTGGATAATTTCAGCCCTGGAAATGACCACTGAACAAAAGGTAAAAGGTAGCTGTTCACTTGAAAACTACCGCGTCGTGACATGGCAAGGTAAAAGAGAGCTCTGGTGATGTATTAAGACTAAAAATAAAGGATTACTCAAACATGAAGTGAATGAAAAAGAACACAGCTTCAGGTATGAAACAGGAAATAAGGCGAGTGTTTCAATGGGGCTTGAGTGAGTCAGATGGAAAGATGTAGGGCACAGGTGCTTTTCAAGGATAAGACCACTTGACATGGAGGGTTCAGATTTTAACCTTACATCCTGGGGAAGACACTTGAAACGCGTAGGCTGGTTCGTGTATTAATAAAGGATTTAAACATTTTTTGATCACTAGAGTGCCTCAGACATTTCATCTCCACTATCACTCACATTTTCACTTGGGCTAAGGTGAATTGCTTTTTCCTACAACTCCAGGTATGTTTTTTCTCACATTCTAACATGCCTCAAATTTGCATAATATAGGATGTGTGATAAAGGTATTGGGTTGAAGCAATTAGCAAATTTACACTAAATAAACGGCTAAGAATAGAAAAATTACCAAGATAAGCAGCATCTACTTGTACAGTGAAGGGAGAGGAGTAGTTTGGGAAATCCCTGTCCCCCACACTCCATCTTTCCTCCTCTCAGTACAACAGCCGCTGGGGTCACCTTGCCGGTTTTTCCTTTTTGACAGAATCTTAATTATTTTTCACAACACATCAAATGTCAGGACCAGGCCAGATACGGAAAGTTCAACCAATCGTGACAACTATAGCATGTTTGATGTCAGAAAAGGTGAGAGCACGTTTGATAGTAATTCATAGTGATACAACGCGGAATGGAGCTTTAGACACAAGAGTGTACAGCATATTTCAGTCCTTCGTATGTTCCCGTCTTGTAATTTACTGTGCCAGGGATGTCCAGAAACCGTGGTATATTCTTGGATTATCGCATGATTACAAATTGATTTTTCTGATAATAGTTCATCCGTTAATCTGTTTTCTTATCAGGGGTTGGGTCAAATAGAGGTTGATGCAAGTCAGAGCTGAGTGTGCAGAAATGCTGGGGCTGGCTGCACATTTTATCAGCTATGAAGGAAAAAGGGACAACATGGGACACTTACAAGTTCGTATATAGACTATATATATAAATGGACATAACTAACTACTTTATGGAGTCTCGTCATTTTGGTCTTAAAATGTTTGTATTAACACGCTCTACATGATCTTGGTGTTTTTATATCAGCTCCAAATTCGCTTGTATAACTGCTAACCTCAGGAGCTTCATTTGACTGGAGCTGAACACTATAGTGCGCCGTTATACACAGCCCACCTCTGGACTAATTATTAAAAAAAGCCAGTTTGCAAAGACTGCAGGTGGCCTACAATGACGCTTTACGGGTGCTTTTGAGGAGGTCACGATGGACGAGTGCGACTAAGATGTTTGTTACTGCATGAGTGAACACTTTGCAAGATGCACTAAGAGTTTTAATGTACAGTTTTATCTGCAAACTCAACAAATCAGACAATGAATTAATAATGTCACTCACAAATATGAGATTCAGTGCAATAAGATATCAGTCCAATATGTGGAGACACTGGTCTGGTTGTCTTTTAAAAACATAAATGTTTGTTGTTTTGCAATGTCACTGTCCTTGTCTGTTTTAAAAATGGACCATAAGTCCGGAATAAAGATGATGATGATGATGATGATGATGATGATGATGATGACATAGGTAACGTCACACTCCCTTAGTCCACTTCTTTATACAGTTATAGTTAGTATACAAAGTCATAATGGACGTATCTGTGGCTGTCAGCTACTTGTATTATGCAACATTTTTCCTATTCAAAATACGTGTAGTTTTAAATGTTAATGTAAATTTTTCTGCTTTCTAAAACCCATGGATAGGAGAACAGATAGAGGTCTGTGCTGCAAAACAGCAAAACTAATTATTTTTAGTACAATTTTATCTTTGTGTAGGCCCATTTAAGTGAAGAAATTCTAAAGAAAACTCAAACTTCCTAACTGGACAGTAATTATTGCGAGCAGGTTAATACTAAAATTTGCATTCATTTACAAGTTTTCTGACATTATAGTTTGATAAATTTATTCAATGACCCAGCAGTGAATCAGGTAGTTTCACTTTTTACATTGCTTTTGCTAATGCATATGTATACAATGCATCTTTCTGTTTTGAGGACCATATTTTAAGGACTTTTGCACATTCAAAAGATGCAATATTTTGTTTTCAAATGTAAATTTTTATGGTGCTGGATTTTCATAATTCTGAAACCCACGAAAGGTTTTTATTCCACACTCTTCACTCTTTTCTTTTAATGTTAATTTGATGATGCTTATTTACGTTTTGATTTGTTCGTACTGTGATTTTAATGTTTTTCTTATTGTGTAAAGCACTATGAATTACTTTGTGTACACATTGTGCTATATAATTATACAAATAAACTTGCCTTGCCTTGAATAGGATGGACCCTGCATTATAAACCCTTTACATTAGAAGCTCATTTGATTCCATAACAGCAAGAGAAATGCCTTGCCCAAGGATGCAACTACAGTTTCCATTGTGAGGATTGATCCATATTCAGATTAGAAGGTTACAGTGTGTACCAGTGAGCCTCTTCCGCCAACAAAAACAAAGGTTTTAGAGGTCATTATTCAAATTGGCAGGAACAAGGATATCACATTGATTTATTGAGTTTTAGGCCGTCAAACAACAACATAAAAATTTTTCTGTCGAGAAATTAGTCATCTGAATTAGACTCATCCTTCAATGCCAAAAGGGGCAAGTGCAATGCAATCTCTGGGGAGCCTTCTGCAGATCTTGAACCATGATCTTGGTGAGAATCCTGGTACATGGATGGAGGAATTATGTTGTAGTATAATTGAAGTAGAGTGAAAAGAGAGACTCGATGTCTAATGCAGGTTTATTTACCATCAGTAGTGGCCCTGAAGATATGAACACTCAACACATTGTGATAGTAATGTCCATTCAGGTCTGGTCATGCATTTATTGTAGGGAGTATTATAACCGCTGATGATGTAGGCCAGATAACGGGGACTGAGCTAGTTCCCCATCAGTTATATATATTATGCCTATTATGCATGTTTTAATTGAATAGGTTAATCTTACTTACCAAATCCTCATTGGACACAGTACATCTCGAATGTACAATACAAAGACAATTCACATAACAACAAATATTAACGGTGCAATACTTAACTTTCTGGTGGAGGGTCCATCACCAGTTTGTCTCCATGAAGACTCT